AGTGTTTTTGTTTGCTCAGTCACCTGCTTGGTGCGCTGCCGCATCAGCCGCGGGGTTGCCGTCCTGATTGGCTGTGGGGACCTGATCTGCTGCTTTAGGAGTCCTTCATAATATATTACACACTGTCTACAATTTTATGTAAGTGCCTTTGAGGTGGGATTCTATTTGTATTGATGTCCATTGTTACCCACATGGAAGAAAAATATATTTGAAATATATTTGAAAAATATTATTTCCAAATATATTGACATATATTTGAAATGATACGTATAAGACTACCCCCCTTCCGAAGCAACACCATTTAAAAACATCAGATTTTTTAATTGAAATGGTTATGACTTACCGGTACTTAAAATCCTTCAAAATCCTCATGTTCATCCTCTGACATCATAAGTTCATGAATGGCATCTTGTGATACATTTGTAAGACAGTCATCATGTGGATCAAATTCCAAATCAGATGGTTACCGCTGGATGTGCGGTAATACGGTAGCTTCGGCTACATACAGTATACAGTATATATACAGCCCGCTGGATGTGCAGTAATGTACATACAGTATACCGTGCTATGCCAAGCTGGCTCAAAACAAATGTCCCTATGAAAGATTAATCTGTCAGCCTGCTGGATGTGTGGTATATACAGTATACTGAGCCAAGCTGTTTCAAAATGTACCGGTACGTCCCTACGGTAATCAGACCGCTGGATGTGGGTATGTACGGTAGCTGCGGCTACATACAGTATACACTGGGCCAATCACGGTGAGCGATGTATTCTACTAATGAATACAAAGCCTGCTCGGATTGGCTGAGGTTGTGACATCATCAGCCCACCTCTCTGACTCAGCCAATCCGAGCAGGCTTTGTATTCATCAGTAGAATACATCGCTCGCCGTGATTGGCCCAGTGTATACTGTATGTAGCCGCAGCTACCGTACATACCCACATCCAGCGGTCTGATTACCGTAGGGACATATCGGTACGTTTTGAAACCGCTTGGCTCAGCGCAGTACACTGTATATACCACACATCCAGTGGGCTGACAGATTAATCTGTCATAGGGACATTTGTTTTGAGCCAGCTTGGCTCAGCGTGGTATACAGTATGTACATTACCACACATCCAGCCAGCTTGACCCAAACAAACTCAAGGTTCACATTTTATACCCCGCATATAAGACGACCCCCAATTTTTGGGGTATGTTTTTAAGTGTAAAAAGTAGTCTTATACGCCAGAAAATACTGTATATGTATATATATATATATATATATATATATATATATACACAACATGCAGTATATATATATATACTGCATGTTGAAATGAGTTTTTATGACAAAATATATGAAAAATATTTTGAAAAATATATTTCAAATATACTGTATGTCTTTAAAAATACAAATCTACATTTTTGTATTAGATTTACAAATATATGTAAAATATATGTTAAAATGACTTTTTTTATATGTTAAAAAAATATGAAGAATATATTTAAAAATATATATATTTTTAAAAAATATATATTTTTTAAATTTATTCTTCAGATTTTTTTTAACATATAAAAAAGTCATTTTAACATATATTTTCACATATATTTTTAAATGCATTCCAAAAATGTTGATTTGTATTTTTAAAGACATACAGTATATTTGAAATGTATTTTTTAAAATATTTTTCATATATTTTGTACTAAAAACGCATTTCAACATGCAATATATATATATATATATATATATATATATATATATATAATTATATTTTGAAATATATTGAATATGGCCAAAACTGTAGCATTTCAAATATATGGCAATATATTTGGGATTTTTAAAATATTTTTAAAATATATTTTTTTTCCATGTGGGGTAGTGTTTGTAATGATTATCTGCAAGTTTGTCCATTTTCTAGATGCGTTCCAAGCCCCTGAGGAAGCGACTCTCATTGCGAAACATGTCCATCCATCCAACAGCCAAAATACCACCCCACACTTTGAAGCAAGTGGATTGTGTCTACCATCTTCTCAATATCTCCAATGGAAATTTGTATTTCTATACTTTATGGGGGGATAATGCTGTGACTATATGTGCAATGCATACTAATATTTTTAATTACTCAATATATTTTAGATATGTTACGGTAATAAAGCAACAATTGTTTTAAAAATTTTTGTACTGTGTCTATGTGCCTAAAAAGTCCATAATTAATTTAGATACATTTTGATCCTCTAATCTGGACGTGGCACTACGCTATTCCCTTGGTGTGACCTTCAGCCAGTTGATGGTCACCCAACTTTCTTAACTCATCTTTTGAAGTATCTATGCTGGTTGTATACAGTATAAAAAACTTGTTTTAATAAAGAAAACAGGAGATTATTAAATAGTGTTTTTATATCTGCCTTTGGTTTAGTAATCTATCCTCTGGACATGTGCGTTTATACAGTCATGCAACCCTGATACCCTTATATTATTATTATATTATTATTATTATAGAGGATTTATATATAGCGGCAACAGTTTGCTCAGCACTTTACAATATAATGGGAGACAATACAGCAAGGATACAGTGCAATACAAGAGGGATTAGAGGGCCCTGCTCCTTGGAGTTTACAATCTAGGAGGGAGGGGCTAGTGGTACAAAAGGTAGTAACTGTGGGGGATGGACTGGTAGGAAGAGTAGAAGATTCCAGTATTAGCTGAGGGCAGGATAGGCTTCCCTGAAGAGATAGGTTTTCAGAGATCGCCTAAAAGTGAGCAGAGTAGGCGATAGTCTGATAAATTGGGGTAGAGAGTTCCAGAGGATGGGGTACAGTGGTACAAGAGGTAATTAGCTGTGGGGGATGGAGTGGTAGGAGGAGTAGGGGATTCCCATATTAGATGGGGTCGGGGTAGGCCTCCCTGAAGAGATGGGTTTTCAGAGTGCGCCTATAAAAGTATGACATATGACATTAATGGAGATGCAATCATAACTAGAATCACAGAACATTAAAATGTAGCACAATAAACTTTATAAAATCAACCTGATCAATGTTGTTATTTAAAAAAAAATAGAAAAAATATAGAAAATATCACTCTAGACATTGATAATGATTTTTCCAACATTTATCCTGTAGATAGGTACTATGTCTGGCCACACATATTGCAACCTGAGTGTCCAATATGTGTACAATCCCCAGTGAATGATTGCACAAGTTGTACATTGTGTGGCAACCTTCAAACATAGATCCAGGGTAAACCACTCACATTAGTTTGACAGATGGAAATTCGCTTTATGGGTGTTAGTGAGAATTAGTGCATCAGCACTCGCTGGAAAGATTCCGCCACGATGCATCTTCCAACTACACTAAAGTGCCATGCACTGCGATACGGAAAATTTGTGGTCTGTGATATTGCATTGGGATGCCCATTTATATGAACAGGCGGTCATAATGCAACATGAGTAAGGCCTCGTTCATAAGGGCATATTAGAGTGTACGCCCGTGCAGAGACGTGTTTACCCACACAGGGATGCACAGGTGTTCTGTGCATCCTCATGCAGACAGCTCCATGCATCTCGGGCAGCACAGTGGCTAAATGGTTAGCACTTCCGCCTGGCAGTACTGGGATTGTTGGTTTAAATCCCAACCATGGCATCGCCTGCCTGGAGTTTGCATGTTCTTACTGTGCCTGCGTGGGTTTCCTCCGGGTACTCCGGTTTTCTCCCACACTCCAAAGACATGCTATTAGGTTAATTGGCTCCGGTCTAAATTGGCCCTAGTATGTGTATGTATGAATGTAAATTAGGGACCTTAGATTGTACTCCCCTTGAGGGTTAGGGACCGATGTGAATGTACAATATATATGTAAAGCGATGCGTAAATTGACAGCGCTATATAAGTACCTGAAATAAATAATAATAATAAATAAATAATAGGGATCATTATAGGTTGTTAGACATGCTGGCAGGTTAACTGGATCCTTTCTGAATTGGTCCTAGTATGTGTATGTGAGTTAGGGACCTTAGATTGTACACCCCTTGAGGGTTAGGGACTGATGTGAATGTACAATATATATGTACAGTGCTGCGTAAATTGACGGTGCTATATAAGAACCTGTAATAAATAAATACATTTCAATTGGGATGCAGCAGCTGCATGTTGAACAGACACAGTCGCTGCTCCTAATTTGATATCCCTGGGTATAGGTGCAGGTTCACAATCCTGAATGCAGACTGCGGGGGTTGTTTAATTAAAGTAAAGTGCAAAATCTGGTGCACCTCTGCATAGAAACCAATCAACTTCCAATTTCTATTGCCAAAGCTTAATTGAACAAGCTGAAGTTAGAAGCTCATAAGGTGACAGCGCAAATAATAGGGTCGTTGGTTCGAATCCCAACCACGGCACCACCTGCCTGGAGTTTGTATGTTCTCCCTGTGCCTGCATGGGTTTCCTTCGGGTACTCCGGTTTCCTCCCACCCTCCAAAGACATGATGGTAGGTTAACCTCCCTAGCGGTCTGATTATGTCTATATTTCTGTGCTCAAAGCGGTACTTTTTTTGCATGGAAATATGTAGTTTTTTTATTGTAGGCCTGTAATTTTTAGGAATAACTCACTGAAATCTGTCCGAACAAGAGTCTAGTAAACATCCCGGATATGATAAAACTTGAAACACGAAATCATAAATTATAATTTAATAAATAATCATAAAAAAATAATAATATAATAATAATACGTTTAATTCAACAATATAATCAAACCAAAAACACTGAAATTTGAAATATAGCGCCAAGTTCGCACATCACTGAGCAAAGTCGCAGAATCGTTTTCAGTGTCTGATGACGAATTTCCCCACACGAATCATTATCACTCAATTCTGCAAGTGGTTCTAATTTACTATCGCTGTTCTCTAGCTGGTCTAAAACCGATTTTGACCTAATGGACGCTTTTTGGACGCCATGGATGTTTCTCAGTTTCCAGGCAGAAAGAACAGTAAAAATGCAGGCAGGGCACAGGACAAAGCACTCGGGACAAAATGTATGTGAAATGGTTTGATACAGTAATGTTTTACTATGTGATTTTAGTGAATGTCACTTTTTGTCATTTTCAAATTTCCCACCATTCCGCTCCCCCATACGTCCCGACGCTTGCAGAGAACGGAAGCCGGAAGACAGATACCGGCATCCGCCTGAGGACATTGCCTGGGACACTGCAGGAGGGACATCGTGGGAGCGCAGGACAAGGTAAGTGATCGAGGGATCCTGGAGCAGCGCCGTATGCTAAGCCCGAGTGTAGCTCAGGGTTACCGCTTGTGGTGCTGAAACTTTACCCCGAGCTACACTCGGGAATACCACCAGGGAGGTTAATTGGCTCCGGTCTAAATTGGCCCTAGTAGGTATGAATGTGAGTTAGGGACCTTCGATTGTACACCCCTTGAGGGTTAGGGACTGACATGAATGTACAATATATATATATAAAGCGCTGTGTAAATTGACATCATTATATAAGTACCTGAAATAAATAATAGGGATCATTATAGGTTGTTTGGGATGCTTTTATGTCCATGTAAGCTGGTTATAAATCTACCCAATGTGAGTGTAATGAAGGTCATTAAAAAAAAAAAATTCTGAGCTTCATACAGTATTACACTATCAGCATTTTTATTTTATATTTTATATCCCCCTATGTGGAATCGTTTTTGGAAGGAGATTCAGTAAGGAATTGATAGAGGGAAAAACATCTGAGGAGACTGCACTCCACCTCTAAGCCTGTTTTGATTCTCAAAGCCTAATCTGCTTGAGAATCCACTTTATATGGTCAGTGTGGGGGGAAATGATTCACCACTGATGATGTGAGCACGCTGGAAAATGTATGAAATTGCCTTCTTTCTCTCATTTTTTTGGGACACTGGACTTTAATTTGGGACTTTTTTTTGGATTTATATATTATAATGTTAAATTGTATTCTTTATTATTTGTGCTGTGTCACTTTATGAGTTTTGTTTGATGTTTTGTCATTTTTTGAACAGCAGCATTTATTTTGATTGATTGTTATTTCTTTGGGTCAAAAAAAAGTCCAAAACTGCTGGTTTGCGACGTTTTACCAAGTTTTTCAGCATTAGAGTGTTTTTATAGCTAAAAAAACTCCTCTAGAAACCCATTAGTTTTGTTTTTTTTTTCCTGCCAAAAAACGTCCCTGCCAAAAAACATTGATTACAGCCTATGTGTCCATGGACACATAGGATAACATGCTGGGGAGTTTATTGACTGTAGAAAAAAAAACATCAAAAGCCAAAAGGAGCAGCTGTAAAAAAAATGAAGTGTGCATGAGGGCTTACTGTGCCATAAAGGAGTTTCACAGACACACACAAACCTCGTAAGAAAGGATATTAAAATGTATGAAATATTAAAAATGAAACTTTAATTTCATAGCTTTTGTGCAGAGCAAATATAGACAAGAGAGCAAACATTTTATCTGAAATCGGTAAAGGAGTGCCATCCAGAATTTTTTTTTTGGTTGGTAGAAATGTCATATAAATACATCCACTGCATTTCGGGAACACCACTCCCCCTTCATCAGGGCTCAACACAAGAAAAAAAATTTGTATGGACTCCAAAAATAGTGACTTCATAAATCTATATTAGAACCAGTAACAGCTTTACAGCAGTTGGTGACCAGTAATGGAGATTTCGATACTGGTTTAAATATAGGTCTGTGAAGTCACTGAGTCCATCCAAGTTTTCTCCTGTGTTGAGTCCTGATGAAGGAGAGTAGTGCTGTTCCCGAAATGCATTGGATGTTTTTATATTACTTTTTTTTTACCAGCAATTAAATGTAACTTTGGATTCTTTCACTTGTTTTGGTCTGGTGCTTCTTTCCTATATTTCTATGCTTTGTGCCACTGTTGGATGCCCATCAAGAGAAGCCTCACCAAAGCTACTGAGCTTGTTTGACATTTTCCTCCATCTGACTACACGTACAAGTCCAGAAGTTCTCAGTGCCTCTTTGGGCATGTTGTTATGGAACACATTACAACCTCATGAAAATTCTTCATAATTACTGCGCCATAAGGGAGTTTCACAGACACACACAAACCTCGTAAGAAAGGATATTAAAATTTATGAAATATTAAAAATGAAACTTTTCTATTTCATAGCTTTTCTGTACACTAAATATGGACAAGAGAGAAAACATTTTATCTGAAATCAGGAAAGGAGTGCCAGTCAGAATTTTTTTTGTTGGTAGAAATGTCATATAAATACATCCACTGCATTTCAGAAACACCTCTCCCCCTTCATCAGGGCTCAACACAAGAAAAAAAATTTGGAACTCCAAAAATAGTGACTTCATAGATCTATATTAGAACCAGTAACAACTTGACAGCAGTTGGTGACCAGTAATGGAGATTTCGATACTGGTTTAAATATAGATCTGTGAAGTCACTGAGTCCATCCAAATTTTCTCCTGAGTTGGTTTTGGTCTGGTGCTTCTTTCCTATATTTCTATGGTTTGTGCTACTGTTGGATGCCCATCAAGAGAAGCCTCACCAAAGCTACTGAGCTTGTTTGACGTTTTCCTCCATCTGACTACACGTACAAGTCCAAAAGTTCTCAGTGCCTCTTTGCCCTCCAGAGGATTTACACCCCTCCTGACCAGGCCATTTTTTGCGATACAGCGCTGCAATACTTTAACTGACAATTGCGCGGTCATGCAATGCTGTACATAAATTAAGTTGATGTCCTTTTTCCCACAAATAGAGCTTTCTTTCAGTGGGATTTGATTTGAAAAAAAAACAACATTATTTTTTACTTTTTCCTGTAAACATATCCGGTGAAAAAATTTAAAAAAAAAAATTTCCTCATAAATTTAGGCCAAAATGTATTCTGCTGCATGTGTTTGCTAAAAAAAAAATCAAATACATGTAAATTAATTGGTTTGTGAGAAAGTTATAGCATCTACAAATGGAGGTATAGATAATGGAATTTTTTTTTAATACTAGTAATGGTGGCGATCAGTGACTTATGGCGGGACTGTGGCGGGCATTCTGACACTGTATGGGAACTGACTAACTGCCACTAACATCCCAATGATATTAATACAGTGATCAGTGCTAATAAAAAGCACTGACACTGTACTAATCACACTGGGCAGGAAGGGGTTAACATGTGGGGCGATCAAAGGGTTAACTGTGTGCTGTGTGTTTTACTTGAGAAACATGCTGCTGTGTATTTATCTGCTGTGCAGAGAAATACACAGCAGCATGTTGTTGCTGGCAGGAGAGAGACCTATGTTGTTTACACACAGGTCTCTTCCCTATCAGTGTTACTCGGCAATCCCCAGGTGCCTGGGGGGAATCACCGGGCGGGACCTGGTGATTGACATCTGTAGCCACCAATGGCCTCGCGGGTAGAGTGGTGCGCACAAGCGCCCCCTACCACAAAAAAAAATAACGTATATGTACGTGATTTTGCAGAGCCCTGCAGCCCTGTAGCAGTACTTCTGTTATAGGGCGGCAGGGAAGTGGTTAAACGGATTAACACCCATGTCCTTGACATGCCTAAAAGTGACTAAACACACCTAAACATGTTACACGTGTTTACAAGCGACAAGCGTTTTGTTTCTGCCAAAAGGCTGCTGCCAGGAGGAAAGGTGTCTAGCAGAGATTGACAAAGCATCCAGTGTGCATGAGGCCTATCTGAGTCTACCTTAAAGAAGAACTTAATTTTAAAGGTTGGGGTCTACTTAGCAACTGCTGGAACGAACACATCGGTCAGGATTATGCAGTTATGTAATATATAACATAAAGCATACAGTGCAGAGATCAGGAGTATGTAACATACAACATTGCATTTAGAGTGCAGCCATGAACAGTATTCAACCCAGGACAAAGAGTGCAGAGATCAGGAGTATGTAACGTACAACATTGTATTTAGAGTGCAGCAGTGATCAGTATTCAACCCAGCATAAAGAGTACAGAGATCAGGAGTATGTAACATACAACATTGCATTTAGAGTACAGCAGTGAACTGTATTCAACCCAGCATAAAGAGTACAGAGATCAGGAGTATGTAACATACAACATTGCATTTAGAGTGCAGCAGTGAACAGTATTCAACCCAGCATAAAGAGTACAGAGATCAGGAGTATGTAACATACAACATTGCATTTAGAGTGCAGCAGTGAACAGTATTCAATGCAACGTAAAGAGTGCAGAGATCAGGAGTATGTAACATACAACATTGCATTTAGAGTGCAGCAGTGAACAGTATTCAACACAGCATAAAGAGTGCAGAGATCAGGAGTATGTAACATACAACATTGCATTTAGAGTGCAGCAGTGAACAGTATTCAACCCAGCGTAAAGAGTGAAGAGATCAGGAGTATGTAACATACAACATTGCATTTAGAGTGCAGCAGTGAACAGTATTCAACCCAGTGTAAAGAGTGAAGAGATCAGGAGTATGTAACGTACAACATTGCATTTAGGGTGCAGCAGTGAACAGTATTCAACCCAGCGTAAAGAGTGCAGAGATCAGGAGTACGTAAAGTACAACATTGCATTTAGAGTGCAGCAGTGAACTGTATTCAACCCAGCGTAAAGAGTGAAGAGATCAGGAGTATGTAACACGGTTTTCCTTTCATCACCACAGCCAGCATTGGTGGTCACTGGCAATAAGAACCCCTAAACCCCATCCAAAGCATTAGTGGTCAGTGGCAATAAGAATCTCTCCAGTAGTGCCATTGGTCAGCTGAAATAGGATCTCCTTTTTCCCTCCAAAAGCATTGTCATCCAGTAAAAGTAAGTAATGGAAGCTAAAAAAAAATAGAATGATTATTTCTCAGTGTAAGTCACCTTATCTACTTCCTGCATCACCTCTGGATCTATACAAATACAATTGGACTGTAGGTCACTTCACCCAACAGTGTCAGCATAGATCTGCAGCACTGCAGTATTAAACCCAAAACCATAAATGTAATATAATGCCGCTTACCAATCCTTAGGTGTGGTGTATGCATTAGTTATCTTTTTTCCCTCTTTTTTCCCATGGTGACCTGGCCAGAAAACACCTGTACTAGTGAGACACAACTCTGGAGGAATGAGCACAAGAGGAACAGCAGACCACAGCATTGCCAGTGTAGGGGAAAAGGGGGTGTTAAATGTACCAGCAGATTTAAATATAATAACACATTGAAACCAAACTTTAGCTCACACTTTATAATCTGTTACCTTTTGGAATACTGTGTTAAATGGTCTGTCTCATCCATGTAAACTGATACATTCTGTTGGAGAGCTTGTGCTTCTGAAAAAACAACAGACTTACTAGCTGGATCACCAGATGAAAATAGAAGAAAGAAAGCCTGAAA